AGTAATGGGTAGGGGTAGCTTCAGGCAGCAGAGACATAGCTGCTTGAGAGAGTTTAATTATGAGAATAGGACATGCCATTATCCAAGGACAGGGAGTGGCACTGATCAGCCAGTCCAAGTGACGTCCTGTGCAAGTTGGTTTGTGCACTTGTTTACAACTATTATGGGCAGGAAACTGTGCTTCTCACTGACAGGGGTGCAGAAAGCTATAAAATAGGGTCTCTAACATCAAAGAATTTATAATCTGTCTACAAATAATCGTATTCCAAGAAAACCCGTGATAACTGCTAGAGGAGATGTATAAGCATAAAGTGCTACAGGAATTTAGAGACAGGTGAGATCTATTCGAGTAGTGGTGACTATGGCCCAGATGTCAGAGCAGGTCATGGTTGGCAAATGACTTCTCAAACAAGACACTAAATATGCACTTTACATGCCTTGTAATAACAACCAAAAGGAGCATTTATTTAACATGAAATGTAAAATGCAATAAAGCAGGAATGTATCTTTGATGGACTAATCCGTAGCATGTGAGCCACACTGACATATACGAATGCACCAGGTCAGGAGTGGACACAGACCAATTGTGCCAGGGTTCTGTCTGAATTCTAAGGCAAATTAATCATATTACTGCGATCCTTTGTCCCAGCCCTGACTGTTAGCCTTTGGTCGACTTGTTTCCCCTGAATTCTCACCTCCATAGTATTTGTGCTTGTGCCTTTCTGGGCTCATGGCCCTTTTTGCACTGGTCATTGGGAAGGCTCCTTCCAAGGCAAACACATTCTTAATCTGTGCACAAAATACTCCCTCCACATCTTGAATTTTTAAAAAACAATTTATTTTTAATTTTTTAATTTTAAAATGCTTTTCAAGACGGGGTCTTCACATGTTGCCAAGGCTGGTCTTGAATTCCTGGACTCAAGCAATCCTCCTGCCTCAGCCTCCCTTGAAATCTTTGCCTCAACAAAAACCTGGGTGACTTTATCTGTTTCCGTTTTATCAACTGTCACATATATGGGGATTTTTCTCAACTTTTTTAAAAAAATAGCTCATATTTTTCTCCTATGCTTCAGACATATGCATCCTACTGCCTATGGAATCTCCTTCTAGCATGGCCCAGGAACTTCCAAATCAATGAGCCTGGGTGTAACATTACCCATTCATTCTCTATTCTCTGATCCCTCTATTACACCCATGCTACATACCCATACTCCAGCCTGGAAGTGAAATTTTATTCTTTTTTTAAATTAAAAAAATTTTTTTTGAGATAGGATCTCACTCTGTCACCCAGCTGGAGTACAGTGGTGTGATCTCAGTTTACTGCAACCTCCACCTCCTGGGCTCAAGTGATCCTCCCACCTCAGCCTCCTGAGTAGCTGGGGCTACAGGTGTGAGCCACTATGCCAGGCTAACTTTTTTGTAGTTTTTATAGAGATGGGGTTTCACCATGTTGCCCAGGCTGGTCTTGAACTCCTGGGCTCAAGCAATCTGCCTGCCTTGGCCTCCCAAAGTGTTGGGATTATAGGCGTGAGCCACTGTGCCCAATGTGGAGTATATACACAATGGAATAGTAAGCAAATTTCACTAATTTACTTGAAATTTTATTCTTCTCCCTTCTTTATCTACCATGTCAAATTGATAACCAAGTTGTTATAATTGGTCTCCTCAATATTTCTCCAATTTGTTTCCACCCTTTGTTGCTGCCCCATCAATCCCATGATTGACAATGTACAACTGTCTTTGCCTCATCATCGGTATTAGTTACCTATTGCTATGTGACAAATTACCCCCAAATTTAACCAGCAAACATATTATCTCACATGGTTTCTGCGGGTTAGGAATCCAGGAGCAGCTTAGTGGGGTGGTTCTGCAGCAGGGTGCTTGTGAGGTTACAGTCAAACTGTCAGCTGGGGCCACCATCATCTCAAGGTTCAACTGGGGCCGGGAGATTCTGCTTCCAAGCTCACTCACATGGTGTGAGCAGGACCCTTTCCTTGCTGGCTGTTGGCTGGAGGCTTCAGTCAGTCTCTGCATATATTGCCTGAGTGTCATGACATGGCAGCTGACTTCTCCCCAAGTAAGTAATGCATATATTTGTGTTTGTGTGTGTGTAAGAGAGAGAGAGAGAGAGAGAGAGAGAGAGAGAGAGGAAAGCCACAGTCTTTTAAAACCTAATTACCAATGTTTCCACTCCAGCCATATTCTATTGGTTGCATAGAACAAAGCTAGTGCATGTGGGAGGGTGTGTATGAAGACCAGCATGTGAGCTGGTCACTTTGGGGGTTGGCCACCACAATGTCAATTCACCCTTTTGGTAAAACAATCAGTTTCCTTTGAAAAACCACTTTTCCTTTGAGAAAACAACTTTCCTTTGGGAAACCACCCTCCCCCACTGCCAAGCTATAGTATGAGTGGGGCTGCCCTTCCCTCATTTCCGATATAGGTCCCCATTTATAGCATGGGTCCTGACTGGCTAAGGCTGATCAGCACATCTGTTCTGCTGTGGGCTGAATGCTTGTGTCCCCTCAAAATTCACATGCTGAAATCCTAATCCACAATATGACGGTATTTATAGGTGGGGCTTTTGAGATGTAATTGGGGTAGATGAGGTCGTGAGTGTGGGGCCCTATGAGATCAATGCCCTTAAAAAAGAGGAAGAGACTGGGTATGGTGGCTCACACTGGGTATAATCCTAGCACTTTGGGAGGCCAAGGCAGGAGGATTGCTTGAGTCCAGGAGTTTGAGACCAGCCTGGACAACATAGTGAGACCTCATGTCTAAAAAACAGTAAACAAAATTAGCGGGCATGGTAGTACAAATGCCTGTAGTCCTAGCTACTCTGGAGGCTGAAGTGGGAAGGATAGTTTGAGCCTGGGAGGTAGAAGCTCTGTCTCTGTCTCTCTGTGCACACACCAAAAAAAGCCATGTGAGGCCATAAAGGAAGAAGAAGGCCCTCACCTACAACCTAGTCATGCTGAGACCCTGATCTTAGTGTCCAGCCTCCAGACCAGTGAGAAATAAATGCTTGTTATTGAAGTCATCTGGTCTATGGTAATTTGTTATAGCAGCCTAAACTGACTAAGACACAGTCAATCTGGCCTTAGTGATAGACTCAGGGATGAGCAGATAATCCAACAGAAAGCCAGTGACATTGGGAAGTGTTTGCTGGAGTTCTGGAAAGAATCTAAGAAGCTTCAACAGAATCTCCTGGAAGGGATGCACTCTCTTCCCCTCACCTAGGTGTTGTGAGACTGTGAGGCTAGAGCTACTGGCATTTTGCCAATGCAAGGTGACCCAGCCTGGGAATGAAGCTGATTCTAGGAGAAGCAGAGCCAAGAGATGGATGCTGGAGACACCACTTGAGCTGTCTATCAAGTCAAGTGCACAGTGGGCCTGTGTGTAAAATGTTCAGTTATACTAAGCAATAAATAAATTAAAAAAATTTTTTTTAAGACAGAGTCTTGCTCTGTCACCCAGGCTGGAGTGCAATGGTGCCATCTTGGGTCACTACAACCTCCACCTCCTGGTTTAAGTGATTTTTCTCGCCTCAGCCTCCCAAGTAGCTGGGATTACAGGCACCCACCATCATGCCTGGCTAGTTTTTGCATTTTTGTAGATATGGGGTTTCACCATGTTGGCTAGGCTGGCCTCGAACTCCTGACCTCAGGTGATCTGCCTGCCTCAGCCTTCTAAAGTGCTGGGATTACAGGCATAAGCCACCACACCCAGCCAAAACTTTTCTTAAGGTGATTATACTGGGATTCTGTTCCTTGTTATATAAAGAGTCCTAACTGGTTTTGGCCAATGTTCCCTACACAGCCTTTCCTGCCTAAAACATAAATCTGATCATGTTATCTCTTGCATAAAACCTTGTGGCATCTACTCAGTGTCTACTGGGTAGAGTCTAAGCTCATTAACATGACAGTTGAGGTGTTCTACCCCATCCTCCTAATATCCATCTTCAGCCTCTTTTTTTCTTGCTTCTATTTTGAGCAACGCTCAACTATTTATACCATATACCCTGATATTATGAATAGGGTCTTTGACTGGAAGCTCATGAGACTTAATCAGGAATTAGGGCAGCAGAAGCCGTGAGAGTGGACTACAGCCAGCCTGATCAAGACAGTTATATGCCCCAGACCTAGCCCCAGAAACTGTCTCAGTTTTATGTGCTCATGGTAGAGATGCTAGGCCTTTCCTGGTCATTGGCACCTGTGGTCTGAAATATCTCCCAAAATTAATATGCTGGAAATGTAATCCCCAATTCAACAGTGTTGAGAGGTGGGGCCTTTTGGGAGGGTTTAAGTCATGAGAGCTCCACCCTTGTGAAGGAATTAATGATGTTATAAAGGAGTTTGACGGAGGGAACTCACTCCTCTTGCCTTTTTGTCTTCTGCCATGTGGGGACACAGCTTTCCTCTCCTCTAGAGAGTGCAGCATTCAAGGTGCCATCTTGGAAAGAGAGAACAGCCCTCATCAGATGCTGGCACCTTAGTTTTGGACTCATAGCCTCCAGAACTGTGAGAAATACATTTCTATTCTTTATAAATTACTCAGTGTGTGGTATTCTGTTATAGCAGGACAAACAGATTAAGATACTGGCTTTTAGTCAGGCTCCAAGTTTCTGTAGCCCTGTATTCCTGAGGTTATCTCACTGTGAATTCAACCAATTCTCTACGGAGCTCAATAGGGTGCTTCAGCAGTGAAATAGCTTAGTTCAGTTCTCCTTAACCCAAGCCATGGCCCATTTAGATGAGTATTCAATATCCAAGCTCTTGAAAGAGTGGACTCTTAGTTTGAGGTACAGTAGCCAGGAAGAAAAAATATGGTGGAGCTTCCCATTCCCTTCACTTTCTGTGCAAGAGTAAGCTACTTTTTTTCTGGACTAAACATGGCCCACTTGTGGGTATTCTGATTTATAGAACAGATACAATATCAAGTGTTCTTCACTGGATTAATTTTGTGTACCTTGCCCCTAATAATTATATCAGAGAAGGAATAATTTCCCAGATTGGGGCTGATTTGGCAGGGTCTCTACGTTGGCACTGTTATGAATTGCTTTAGGGAATTCATGCTTTTGAGGCTTCCCTCTTGATATCGAAAAAGGAAATAACCCAGTATTTAGTCAGTTTCCAGTTCCCGATAGCTTGTAGGGTGGAAGAGGTTTACAGGGTAGGTATTAGGGAGCGGTTCTTGGGTAGATATGGCCCTTGTCTGGTTCTTTCTCTTTTTTATAAATCTCTTGAGTGCTGCTAGGGTTTGAATGTGTTCCCCAAACAAGATGGCAAACTCGTGGTAAGAAGCTGTGAAACAGGAGTAGAAATTAGTATGCTGAGAAGCAGATTTTAAAAGCTGTTTCTCTTCAGATCATCTTTTTCATATCACTTGATAAGCATCTTGAAACACCATGGCTGTAGCTGCAGTAAAATGGGTGATGTCAAAGCAAACTATCCTGAAACATTTATTTCCAATCCAAAATGGAGCTTTATATTGTGTTTGTCATAAATCTATATATTCTCCTCTATCAGATGACTATAATTGCAAAGTAAATCTTGCTCTGACTTCTGATGGCAGGACAATAGTATGTTACCACCCTTTTGTGGACATTCCATATGAACACACAAAACCTATCCCTTGGCCAGATCCTGTGCACAATAATGAAGAAACACATGATCAAATCCTGAAAACCAGATTGAAAGAAAAAAATTGAACCCCTTGAACAAGAACCTGTTGTAGAACAACTTAGCAAAATGTTCTTTACTACTAAGCACTGCTGGTCTCCTTATGGACGGTATCACAGACGGCATAAGAATCTGAATCCTCCAAAAGACAGATGATGCTGAGGTTCCTGGGAGAATCAAAGGGAAATATGCCTCATTTGCCATTTGAGAAAATGCAGCTGGTGTATGCTAATATATAGTAAAGTAATAATGATAAAATATCTTTTCATATATTAGAATGTGTACTTTTATATATGTTAAGTAATTCTGAATTTGACATTCTCATTTAGAGAAACCTATTACATTTTCTTTTTCTTTTTCAATTTTAGTCTTTCATTTATGTATGGTCTCCAATTTAGAACTTTTCCATAGTGCCAAAGCCATACATATTCAGTAGAACATCCATAGATTACATCAGAACACTTTGTTATAAAATAGGCTTTGTGTTAGATGATTTTGCTCAACTGTAGGCTAATGTAAGTATTCTGAGCATATTTAAGGCAGGCTTGCATTTTCAATTTATGGTATTTTCAATTTACAGTGGGTTTATTGGTATGTAATCCTACCATAAGTTGAGAAACATCTCTTTTTCTGTGTCTAGCATGATTTAAGTATTTTTACATCATTAGCCAAACATTGTTAGTAGTATAAACATAATTAATAAAAAGGTGCATGGCTTTCCTGAGGGAGATTTTTAAATTGCCTTTGAGAATAAAGTCATAAGGTCTACCAAGAAAATAAATGTTATAATGTTTCAATTGGCTTCTAGAAAATAATTAAATTATTGATATTTTGATCAGGTTTTACTATCTACTAGGCCCCTTCCATCCATTCTTATTAAATTATCAAAATAATCCTTTGAAGAAGGAGCATAATCACATTTTACAGGGACTCGAACCCTACCAAACAAGTGGGAGAGCCAGGAGCCGAACTGTCAGACTCCAAAGCTTTTCTCAGTGCATCACAATGACAAAGGGGTGGTTTTCTTTCACCCAAGAATGTGCTTTCCTAGAGATTTTTCTAGATAGAATATTATGTAATTTGTTTTGAGGGTTTTTTTCCCTGGCTGTCTTAAAGATTATGCTAGCTTCAGAACACATGCAAACAGCTGCAGCTCTGTGGTTAAAATGTTAATGTCACTTAGACTAGTGTTATGAGAATGTTAATAGATAATTCTGCTGCCACTACTAGCTTATGTGTGATCCTTAATAGCATTGCTTCCACTTCGATTTCTATTTAGGAGGTAAAGAATCTTTTAATAAGTAGAAAATTCCTTTATTTAAACTTGTACTGTAAAATGTTTGTGATGCAGTAAAATTGATGTGAAAAATAATTTCTCGTTCAAAGTCTATTGTTTGATCTAGTTCTTTTAATAAAGGAACTCTAGTTGAAGTTTCAAGTTAAAAAAAAAAAAAAGAGGTAGGCTGGGCGCAGTGGCTCACGCCTGTAATCCCAGCACTTTGGGAGGCCGAGATGGGTGGATCATCTGAGGTCATGAGTTCTCAACCAGCCTGGCCAACATGGTGACACCTCATCTCTATAACAACAACAACAAAAAGAGGTGATTAGGTCATGAAGACTCTGCTCTCATGAATGGATTAATGACATTATCATAGGAGTGGGTTTGTTATATGGAGAATGGGTTTCTCATGAAAGTGAGTTCAGCCCTCTGCTGCACTGTCTCTTACATGCTTTCTTGCTATGGGATGCCTTCTGATCTAGGCCACTCGTATTAGTAAGTTCATAGGTATTTTCAATATTGTACACTAAGTTCAACAACAACAACAACAAAAATCAGAATGTAACAATCTAAAGAAGTCGGATAGGTATATAAAGGTGAACCTGAGTAAAAAAGTGGACATTAAAAAAACCCCATATATTTCTAAGAGAAATTACTTAAGTATATTTATTACTTTGAAAAAATCTTTAGGCTGGGCGCTGTGGCTCAACGCCTGTAATCCTAGCACTTTGGGAGGCCGAGGTGGGTGGATCACCTGAGGTCAGGAGTTCAAGACCAGCCTGGCCATCATGGTGAAACCCCACCTTTAAAAAAAAAATTAAAAAAAAAATTAAAAATCTTTATAACTATAAGCTGGAGGCAAGGAAGTAACACTTTTTCTTTGTGTTGGGGTTTCTTTTGGATAGCAATTTTTCAGCATCTGGTGATATTTAGGACATTTTCAGAAAAACAGAAAAGTTGGTCAGAATGAATGTTTTCCCCAGGCATGTAGTTGTGTAATGTTAAGTGAAAATGAGAGTAAAATTTTGAATATACGTTCATGATCATAAAACATTAAGACAAAGAAACATGGAAAATGCACATGCACATCATTAAGTCTTATTTTTCTCCCCGGAGTCTAGCTCTGTTGCCTAGGCTGGTGTGGAGTGCAGTGGTGCAATCTCAGCTCACTGCAGCCTCTGCCTCATGGGGTCAAGTGATTCTCCTGCCTCAGCCTCCTGAGCAGCTGGGATTACAGGCACGCGTCATCATGCCTGGCTAATTTTTTTGTATTTTTAGTAAAGCTGGGGTTTCACCACGTTGGTCAGGCTGCTGAGGCTCACACCTGTAATCCCAGCCCTTTGGGAGGTCAAGGCTAGCGGATCACTTGAGATCAGGAGTTTTAAGTTTTAGTTTATGATTAAGTTTTAGGAATTAAGAACCCCTCTTAAAACCAAGTATACCTATGACTATGATTCATATTTTGAAAATACAATTGTTCTTATAGAAAAACATGAAAGGGAAAGTTAAATAATGCTAAGTAGTTTTCCCTTAGGGGCTGGGAATAGGGAGACTTTTAAAAATCTCATATCTATGGTTTAAAAAATGATGAGGTACTGTTTTGTATTGAAAAACATTAAACAGAAAAAAAAATCCACAAGAAGGAAATACAGCAAACTACAATCAGAAGTTGAGTTGGTGAGACAGCGTTGTTTTCCTCTTTCAATATTTCCCTGTGGAACATTTTTCCTGTAATAAGCATATATATATACTTTTTATAATAGAAATCAAACTTTATTTTAAAAATTAAGATCAAATCCTGTTTTCAGTTTTTCTTTGTTTGCAGTTTTATTATGTGACAAAGGGGGCTGGGTGGAGCATTCATAGAGCAATTGAAAATCTAGGAATCAGTTCAGGGGTCAGAAGTGATTTTTTGAAATAATTTAAAAATTTTCCATTGATACATTTTATACATATTTATGGGACATATGAAATATTTTATTACATGCATAGGATGTGTAATGATCAAGTCAGGGTATTTAAGATATTCATTACTTTGTTTATTTATCACCTCTACGCGTTGGGAACATTTTAAGTCCTCTCTTCTAGCTGTCCTAAAATATAAAATACATTGTTGTTAACTATATAGTCGCCCTACTCTGCTATTGAATATTAGATTTTATTCCTCATATATAACTGTATGTTTGTACCTACTAATCAATCTCTTATCTCCCTCACCCCATCGGCAAATGTTTCCTGTAAAGGACCAGACAATAAATATTTTCGGCTTTTCAGGCCACATCGTCTCTACCACAGCTACTCAGTCCTGCCTTTGTAGCACAACAGATATAGGCAATAAGTAAATTAACAGGAGTGGCTTTGTTCCAAAAATTTTTTATTTATGGATACTCACCTTTAAATTTCATGTGTTATCAATTCTTCTTCTTGTTTCCTAACAACCACTAAAAAATGTAAAACTACTCATTTGCTATATAAAAACAGATGAGAGGCTGAATTAGGCCCATAGGCCATAATTTGCTCATTTCTGAATTAGATGAAATCAGGATGGCAATGAACAAAACATACCACAGTTACGCTAAAAGTCTCCAATAGGGATGCCAATACATTTTGTGTTTATTTCAATCTGTGATTTCTCTACATTTTTTCCTTTAAAGATTTGCTTCTAATTTCAATGTCTTAGGAAAAGGATGCCAAGCCATTTTGTTGAAACATTAATATAGGAATAGGACGACCTGAAAAAAATGCTCATGCAAATCCAGGTCTATAAATATTCAGTCTTTTTTGTGTTACACATTTCTGGAAAACATGAATAACACACATGAATCAGTGATGACTCTGTAATAGGGGTATAAACAGAATATTGTAGGATCACATAGGAGGAAGAGTAATTCTGCTCATGGAAGATGAATTTGTATTTATTAGAAAAATTGGTAAGAAACAGTCCAATAGTGATATGGTTTGGTTCTGTGTCCCCGTCCAAATCTCACGTTGAATTGTAATTCCCAATGTTGGGGGAGGTACCTGGTGGGAAGTGATTGGCTCATGGGGGCCGATTTCCCTCATACTGTTCTTGTGATAGTTCTCAAAAGATCTGGTTTGGGAAAATCTGTGCATTATAAAATGCCAATGTTCAACAGGTCAACAACTAGGTAACATTTTTTTCTTTTAATTGAACTGTTGAAAAACGTGTGCTTTGAATGAAGAGACCTTCCAAACAGGCTTTGAGTGAGCAACACAGCTGTTTATTCACCTGGGTGCGGGTGGGCTAAGGCCGAAAAGGGCATTAGCAAAGGGCAGTGGGATAGGAGTTGGTTTTATAGGTTTGGGTAGTTTTTTGGGGGGCAAGGGTGTTGCAGAGTAAGATCAGTTACAGCGGTGGGGTGTAGGGGGCAAGGAGTATACGTGACCACGAGTTCAGTTACAATGGCAGGGTTGGGTGAGAGGTATTTACATTATTATAAGGACAATTAAGATGGCAGGGTTGGGTGATGGGCTTGTCAGGGGAAGCGATCAGAGACAATGGCGAACGCAAGCAGGGGGTGGGAGGCATCAGCCAAAGCAAGCAGGACTTCAGACTTTCAGGCTCCAGGCTTGCATATGGAGACCTGACATGAACAAATACATAAATACATATTGTCTTATAAACCCATCCTTAACTCCCATATCATAGGTAACTAACTTTACAATTATTTCATGTACCCACTGAGGCTCTTTTTATTTGCACATGTAATTATAAATGGACAAGCTTATCCCATATAAACTATCCGAGTTTCAGTTCTGAGTTAATGGTCAGTTGCTCTCCTTCCTGAACTACTTTTTCTCTGTTTAACTCTAGTTGCAAGCACACCAACTTCAGACTCCGGGCACTTCTCAAAAATGCGGTGTCCTGGCTTTTACATAAAAGCATTAAAGCAAAGTTAACCAATTTCTTTATGCCTAAGATTCTAGGCTACCAATTTTATCAGGAAAACACAAGAGTTAAATGTGGAGGGCTGTGTCAAACACAGCCACTTTGAAGGCACGACATAAGAATTGTAAACTTTCATGTGTTACATTACAGAAATCTGAAAGGGGAGCATTAACCAAATACCATTTGAACTTAAGAAACCTCTTCCAGTCACTCTCCCAGAGTGACGGAAATGCAGAAATCTGTATTCCAGCCTCAATTCAAGACAGCCTTCTAGCTGCAATCCCATTTTCCCAACATTTCATCACTCAAACACTCTTATTTAAAAAATACTTCAGTTCCTTAGTCTTCTCAGTACAACTAAACCACACAGCTGTGGCATGGTGGAAAAAGAAAAACAAAAAACTCGAACATCCAGGAGCTCCCCTGCTTTGAGGGCAAATTTAAATTGCAAGCAGTGAGGTAAGGAAAGGCCAGGTATTTTTGCAAAGTTAAGTTTCTCCTAATTAGTAATCTTCTGGGTATCTAAGAAAAACTTTAGATACAAGAAGGGGTGAAGTTTATCTCAGGAGAGTCTTCTGGGAGAGACGATGACGAACCGAACTCCAAGGTTTTAGAAGGGGCGCAACACTTCAACGGGTGTCCCTCCTGACTCAGGGAATTGCTGGCCGCACCCAAGCGAGTTCCCGCCCCCAGCTCCACCCACCGCAGGAGGAAAGGTCAGTAGCTCGCAGTGTCAGGGTAAGAAAACAGGAGTCCCGCGAAACTTCCGTCCTCCCTGGATCCCAAGGGGGTGGACCCAAGGCCCAGGGGCGTCACCGGAAGTGACGCAAGACGCGACCTCCATTTTGTGGAGCGCTAGAGCCGCTAAGTGCGTCAGTTGTGGAGAGACGTAGACGAGTGAAGTCCTGGTTTGCGTGGAGGCCGAGGACTCCGTCGCAGACTACGGACCTGTCTGGGTCTTGGCCGCCAAAGACCCCGTCCGGTAGGTGAGTGGCCCACTTTGAGGGCAACCCTTCTCGGATCGAGGTTTCTTCATGGCCGCTCACATCGTGAGTAGCCGGGGCTGCTTTCTTTGCGGAGGGCGGCGTCTATAATGAGCACAGTTGATTCGAGGTGGGCGCTGGGGCACGTCTCCCTTTTGGCATTCTGTTTTAAGGGTATTGAAATGCAAGGGTGGTCACTGTTGGGGTCGTTTTGAC